TCTTTCCTTTCTTCTCTCTCTCTCCCTTCTCTCTCTTTCTTTCTTTTTTCTTCTTTTTCTTTCTTTCTTCTTCCTTTTTTCTTCCTTTTTTCTTTCTTTCTTTCTTTCCTTTCTTCTCTCTCTCTCCCTTCTCTCTCTTTCTTTCTTTTTTCTTCTTTTTCTTTCTTTCTTCTTCCTTTTTTCTTCCTTTTTTCTTTCTTTCTTTCTTTCCTTTCTTCTCTCTCTCTCCCTTCTCTCTCTTTCTTTCTTTTTTCTTCTTTTTCTTTCTTTCTTCTTCCTTTTTTCTTCCTTTTTTCTTTCTTTCTTTCTTTCCTTTCTTCTCTCTCTCTCCCTTCTCTCTCTTTCTTTCTTTTTTCTTCTTTTTCTTTCTTTCTTCTTCCTTTTTTCTTCCTTTTTTCTTTCTTTCTTTCTTTCCTTTTCCTTCTTTCTTTCTCTCTCTCTTTCCCTTCTTTCTCTCCCTTCTCTCCATCCCTCTTTTTTCTTTCTCTTTCTTTCCTTGTTTCTTTCCTTCTTGTTTTTTCTTTCTTTCTCTTTCTTTCCCTCTCTCCCTTCTCTCCCTTTCTCTTTTTTCCTTTCTTTCTTTCCCTTCTTTCTCTTTCTCCATCCCTCTTTTCTTTTTTCTCTTTCTTTCTCTCCTTCCTTCCTTCCTTTCTTTCTTCTGACCCGGGGGTCCTGAAAATGGAACTGAGGTCCCTCTCCTTTCATCACCTACCACCACATTTTTTCCCCACAGTTTAAAGGCACAAACTTCCAGGTTGCCCAGCTCATTAAAATACAACCATGGGTTGCTTATTTTAGTTTTCAGGTCTATGTGAAACATCATGTCTAAACCACATTCTGCCCTCCTGTGGCAGCTAATTTACAGGGTTTTTTGACTCTCAAATCACTGGAGACTAAAAATCCAAGTCCCTGTAGCTTTCTCGGCAACATTTTCTGCTTTAAGTGTGGTTTAAAAATAAGTCCAAGGAAGTGTTTTGTGATCCTGACAAGGGCATCTCCTTTCCTGTCCATTAAAAGCAGATTTCTCCCCTCCACCTTTCCCCCAGAACATGTAGAGACTTTTGGGGGTGAAATGAGCCCTTTCTACTTTTTTACTCTAACCCCTGACACCATTTCAGTATCTCCTCCCACTTCGCAAGGTTGTATTCAACTCGAGATTGAAATGCCCAAGGCAGATGGTCAATCATAAAGGCCATTGCCCAACTTTCAGAGTTTGGATGGAGGCAGCTCAGAGCCTTGCTTTGAATCTGAAGCTGCCTGCGCAGATAGGGATGGGTGGTGTTTCAAGCAGAATCATTGTTGTTTCTTTTCTTTTTAAACAATTTTATTTGTTTTTTAAACAAGGACAAACAAAAATAAAAATAAAAACAAAAAAACCCATCTTCCATTACAAATTGTAGAAAGTGTGCCAGTTGGTTACAGTATTTCCATGCATCTCTTCCATAATCACCACCTCCTTTTCATATCAAATCGCATATTTTAAATTCACCTATATTCATGTAAATCATAATTATTATATCTCAACCTTAATTTGACTATAATTGTTTTTACATCCTTTTATATATAATATTCAAAATCTAGGATTATATGATAACATTCCATTAAATCATCCTAAAATCATCCAATCACAATACATATTTATAACATATTCTAGATAAAGCTTTTAAACCTCCTCTCATAATCTCCATATATTGTTTATATAAAATTTCATATTATCAAACTAATATATCTATATGTATTGTTATCATTATTAATAATTTAACTGTAGCTATTGTCGCTTCAGAATAGAATAGAAATTTTTATTGGCCAAGTGTGATTGGACACACAAGGAATTTGTCTTTGGTGCATAAGCTCTCAGTGTACATAAGTGTACGTAGTACACAGTGTAATACATTCATCAATAATAAAAAGATACAACAGTAATAGTTGTATTAGGACACAATTAAAAACAATATAAATTTAAAGATACAAGCAGCATGGTTATAGTAATAAGTTGGAAGAGATAGATATTAGTAAGGAATAGAAGAATAATAGTAATACAGTCTTAGTAAACAATAGCCAGAGATTGTCCCACTGACTTGACTTGTATTCTTTTCCCAGCTTGTAGGAGAGAAGGAGCTGCTGGAACTGAGATGCACTTCCTTGCAAAACGATAATCAAATTTACCAAAATCGTATCAAGGCTATTTTAAAACAGCTGGAAGAAGTGGTGACTGAAAGAGATCAGGTAAGGGTCAATATACCTTTCCCCAAATTAGTGCCCCTGACGGGCTGGATTTCATCTCCCAGAATGTATCACCCTCTCATTCTTCTCTTCTAAGGAGGCTCCTAAAATCAGTGAGTCTTATTAGAGATAACTATTAAACAATTGGAATGTGGTGGCTCAGTGGCTAAGACACAGAGCTTGTCGATCAGAAAGGTTGGCAGTTCAGCAGTTCGAATCCCTAGTGCCACGTAATGGAGTGGGCTCCTGTAACTTGTCCCAGCTTCTCCCAACCTAGCAGTTTGAAAGCACATAAATTAATGCAAGTAGAAAAATAGGAACCACCTTTGGTGGGAAGGGAACAGCGCCTTCGGCATTTAGTCATGCTGGCCACATGACCATGGAGACATCTTTGGATAGTGCTGGCTCTTCGGCTTTGAAACGGAGATGAGCACCACCCCCTAGAGTCGGCAATGACTAGCACAGAGATGGCAAACCTCCACTGGCAGAGGCACCGTGGGCCCGTCCTATGCTGTTTCCAGGGTGGCCCGTGTGGGCCACATTTAAGCACCTCATGGGCTGGATCCAGCCACCAGCCTTCAGTTTGACACCCCTGTGCTATGGAGTAGATCTTGTCCCAGAAGAATGCCCTGAAATGGGAACATGCTTTGGGAGTTACCTAGAGGTCACTTAGATCCCAAGGATGGCACCTCAACCAGCGGAACCTGAGGTGGCCCAACACACAAGCCTAGCAAAAATGGGTTTTGGTTCAGCATCTGGTGAGAGCCATTCCGTGGTCAATGTGGGGAACGCATTATTTGGGTGGGATGTGTTACATGAGCACAGCATTTACATTCCATCAGCTATGCTGGCTGGCTCAGTCTGCCTGGTTGGTGGGCTTTTCTGGCAACTCTCTTTGCCTGCTCCCTGCTGGGATGGCTGCAGGCTCTTTTAACCCAGGAGGAATGTCACAAGCAATACTCCCAAGGCCTGAGAGAGAAAGACAGCTACCGGAAGCAGATCCGGGAACTCGGGGAGCATTGTGACGAACTGCAGCTTCAGCTCTTCCAGAAAGAAGGACGGTTGCTGAGTGCCGAAACCCAGCTGAAACGGCTGTGCCGTGATCCCTCCGCCATGGTAGGTTGTCAGGAAAAAGGCCATCAGGAATGGAGCTGGGGTGGCACAGTGGTTAGAATGTAGTAAATCAGGCTAACTCTGCCCACTGCCAGCAGTTCAATCCTGACTGGCTCAGGGTTGACTCAGCCTTTTGTTTTCTTGAAGTCAGTAAAATGAGGACCCAGATTGTTTTGGGGCAATATGCTGACTTATAAAACTACTTAGAGAGGCCTGTAAAGCACCTGGGAAGCAGTAGATAAGTCTAAGTACTATTGCCCGCCCTTCATTCTTTCCTTCCTTCCTTCCTTCCTTCCTTCCTTCCTTCCTTCCTTCCTTCCTTCCTTCCTTCCTTCCTTCCTTCCTTCCCAGTGCTTAGAATGCAGGACTACAGGCTAACTCACTGCTAACTGTTCACGATTCTGACCGGCTCAAGGTTGATTCAGCCATCCGTCCGCCTGAGGTCGGTCAAATGAGGACCCAGATTGTTCTTGTTTTAAATTTAAACTGCTACCTTAAGTGTTATTCAAGGCCACAGTGATGCATCAATCAAGCATCTATGTAATTAATCAGTAGAACAGCTTGCTTTCAGAAGTTGCGAATGGCCATCCCTGTAGGTTTTCAACAAGAGGCTGGACAGCCATTTATCTGGAATGGTATGTCTCTTGCTTGAGCAGGGAGTTGGACTAGAAGACCTCCAAGGTCCCTTCCAGCCCTATTTTTTATGTTCTAAGAATCAATCACAGCAATTATATATAATTTTTCTGAACAATTGGGGTATACATATATAAAGTCTTTCAGCACTTAAGCTGTTTTTAACATCTTGCCACTTAACTTCTTGTTGTCCCAGACTTCAGATCTTGAAGAAAACTCATCCCGCAGCTCTCAAGAGGTGAGTTATGAGTATCTGCTTCCTTTTCTTTACTACTCCGTTGTGGCACAGTGGCTAGAATTCAGTAGACCCAGCTAACTCTGCTCACTGCCAGCAGGTCGATCCTGACTGGCTCAAGATTGGTTCCATCCTTCCGAGATGGGTGAAATGAGGACCCAGATTGTTGGGGGCAATAGCCTGACTCTGTAAATCACTTAGAGAGGGCTGAAAAGCTCTGTGAAGCGGTATAGAAGTCTACGTCCTATCGCTATTGCTATTCTTGCCCACATTTGGGTAGAATTGCAGATCCACACACCCTCAGACCCTGCTATTACCATCTGGGGCAGCACAGGGAGAAGAAGGGAAACTGAAAATGTCCAAGCCCTATTTTCCTACATTGCAGGGACTGCATTCACACAGCACCCTACAACAATTTGTTGACTTCATCTTTTGCGGGTTTGCCCAATGCATTACACCAAATCCTATATTAAGCCAAAAGGCTGGATTTCTGCTTGTTCCAAGTTTAAGAACGAGCAACCAGTTGCATTGCAACGGAAACAGGAAAAAAAACATATTGAGTTACACCAGGAATTTGCTATATTTTTGAAATGATGAGAAATAAAATCTCCATCTCTTCTGCATTCGTTGGATGGCTTTAGTTTAAAGTTTAGTTCTCTGGTTTGACAGCACCTTAAAATGCAGGCTTGTTTCAAAATTATTATAGGAAACATCACTTTTTTGCATTTTGTAAACAAAAAAATAAAGTAATATCACACCTCTCTCCCTTTTTTGCCCAAAGCTGACTCCCCAAGGAAATCCAGACGAAGATAGAAAAGGCACCAAACCAAGTATGTTAATCTGTGACTAGCTATTCTTTTCCCTCCCTCTCTCCCTCCCTTTCTTTTTCCCTTCCTTCCTTCTTTTTTTCTTCCTTCTTTTTCCTTCCTTCCTCCTTTCTTCTTCTTTCTTCCTTCTTTCTCTTCCTTCCTTCCTTCCTTCCTTTTATTTCTTTATTTCCTTCTTTCCCTCTTTCCTTCCTTTCTCCTGCTTTGCAATTCAACCACAAGGAGGATTTTGATTCTGGAAGTCCTACCAATGGATCGGGAAAGGTTACCATGATCTACCACCCCTGCCCCTCCTCTAGACCAGTGAATTGACAGTCAAGCTTGTTTGGCGCATGAGTTTAGTCCTATTTCAGAATCCAGCTGGACGCATGTCGAGAAATAGGCCAACTACCCATTTCAGATACTCGGAGCACTTTCCGACTTCCATTATCCCACAATACCGTTTTTTTCTGGTCTCATTGTATTGTTTCTCTCCCCAACTCTTTTGAACTAGACTAAGGGGAGAGTTTGCAGACCCCTTAAGTGTATTTCGGTGGCCAGTTTGCAAACTTTATTATCATCCCTGCCACTTCCTTATTTGGAGAAATTCTAAATTCACACTGGGAGAGTCAAACCTTGAGTATCCTTTCCACAATGAACGGTCCTGCAGTTTTTAACCTTCTGTTGAGCTGCCGAGTTTCCTAATTCTGTAACTTTATACTACTCAAAGCTTCATCTCTGTTCTCCTCCTCCAGGAAGGAGCCCAGCGGATGGGGACCAGCCAGAGAAAGGGCACCGGCGAATGAAGGACAGTTTTGAGCATTATCGAAGGTAAATCTCCCTCAGCACTAGATCCCTGGTGCAGAAAAAGCTCTTCCCCATCACTTATTGAAATAAAATAAAATATTTATTACAGTCATGGATGCAGGTAACTACAGGTAGTCCTTGACTTCCAACGATCCATTTAGTGACTGTTCAAAGTTACAACACTGAAAAAAGTGACATTTTTCACACAGCGGCCATGGCAGCATCCCCATGGTTATGGGATCAAACCTCAAGATGCTTGGCAACTGACATCTATTTATGCAGTGTCCCAGGGTCATGTAACTTAACAACGGTGCTACTAGCTTAACAGCTGTAGTGATTCACTTAACAACAGTGGCCCTAAAGGTAATAAAATGGGCCAAAATGCACTTAACAAATGTTTCACTTAGCAACAAAAATTTGAGGCTCAATTATGGTCGTAAGTCGAGGAATACCTGTGGTAAGTTGAAACTTTATACTACTTTATAATTTTTATAGAAAATTAGCAATGTGCAGGAGCATAAAAGTTGGAATAGGACAGACAAAATCTATCACAGCAGGAATCACTCTTGAATAATGGATCGAGGCTCTTTAAGATGTGGTGATGCCACTGTTATTCCCTGATGAAATATAAGCGCTGCTGCGCAGAATCTGGCTACATGACACGTTGTAGCAGGATTTGCACCTGCAAGCAGCAGGGAAGAACATAATTGTCCTGGGTTGTTGTTGTTTGCCGTTTAATGACCCTGTAATCCCTTGTTCTGGGCAACTGAATGGAGTTGAGTGATTACTGGCCGGATGCCCTTCCTAGCGCCAATGCGGAGTTTTGTTCAGCAGATATATTCTCATTGTGCCGAGAGAGAAATATCTGTCAGTATTGGCCAGTCACTGGAGGATCTGAACTCCCAGGTGCAGCCTCTTTCAAGGCCAGGTAAACACCACAAATTGGAAAGGACTGTTGTCTATATGTTTTTAGCTGGACGGAAACAGCATTTGTGTTTCTTCCTCTAAAATTGATCTGGAATCTTTTTGCAGAAAGAGAGCTCTACGAAGAGTGCAGGAGAGCCGCCAACACGAAGCTTACTGGGAACATTCCTCAGGAAGCGAAAACACAGACACCGAAGGCTCCTGACTTTGTCTGCTACCTCCAAGGAGAAGTGGGGAATTCAAGAGTCTCTTCATCCTCTTCTCATTTACAAGCAACATGGGCAGCGGGAAAACTAAATAAGTGCATTATTTTGCTGAGACCACCTTGATTTTACATACCTATCCAGCTGACCGAATGAGGCTGCCCAGATTCCTTCCCACGGTTTAAAGGACTTGGGGATCTGGAGCAGGTTTGGCTTCCATCCAAAGAAGACTCAGTAGCTGTGTGGTTTAGCCACCGCTTCTTCCATCTGGATTTCAGATTCTAGATTTCCTGTTTATATATTGTCAGTTTCTTTTTTTTCCTTTTGATTCATGGTGTGTTTATGTGGTATGCCACCCAGAATCACACTGGCTGAGTTTGTCAGCATTAATTACAGGTAGTTCTTGACTTCTGACTGGTTGCTTAGCAACCAGTTTCAAAGTTACAGCCACTTTAGCACTACCAGGTGTTTCCCCTACCACTGTGGCAAAGAACTCTGCAGCATTTCCCCTGCCCGTCTCCCTCCATTTTCCACTCCACCCTTAGAGTCTCCTTAGGCTTTGAGCTTTCTTCCCACCCACCCACCCGTGCACATTCCCATGTGAGAGGATCAGGAAAGCAGGTGCACACACATTCCATTTGCTGCTCATTTGCAAGGAACCATCTCCTCCCCTTATCCCCATGGGTCCACAGACCCTGAAAGATTGGGAAAGTCTGCTGTAGATCTTCTGGAATCAATAGAGATCATGTTGGGGACCGTGGGACATATTCTCTGTCCCTGCACCAAGTGCCTCCATGTCAAAAGAGGAAAGCATTTCAGATGGACAATTTTTTGTAGCCGCTTTGAAAATAGTGCTCACTTCGAAACAGTGCTGTGCAGCCTGCGGGGATGCTGAGGGTGGAACGGCCAGCTCTCCTTCTACATGTTTTTAATATAATGTGGTCCTTAATATGATAGTCCTAGAGTTTATTTAGTGACTGTTCAAAGTTACAACAGCACTGAAAAAGGGACGACAGGTGTTTTTTTTTACATTTATGACCATTGCAACACTCCCATTGTCACAAACAAAATTTGGACGCTTGTCAACCGACTCACACTTCTGATGGTTTCTCTGTCCCGGGGTGATGTGTTCCCCTTTTGTTACTTTTGAACAAGCAAAGCCACTGAGCCAAAGAACTCTGCAGCATTTCCCTGGCTGTCTCCCTCCAATTTCCATTCCACCCCTAGAGTCTCCTTAGGCTTTGGGCCTTCTTCCCACCCTGCTGAGTCCCATTGACCTCCTCCACAACCCCATCACTGATCTTTTACTGTAGATCAGGGGTCCCCATCCCCTGGGCCGCAACCCACTACTGGGCCATGAACTGTTTGAAACCGATGGGTGAGTGTGCATGCACACACACACACACACATATTTGTGTGAGCAGCAGATAAGTATGTGCACACGCACTCCATTTGCTGGCCATTCCCGTGGAACCATCCCTTCCCCCTTCCCCCACCAGTCTACAGAGCCAGAAAGATTGGGGAACTCTGCTGTAGATTTCCTTCTGGAATCAAGAGATCATGTTGGGGACGGAGAGAGATCTTCTCTGTCCCTGCACCATGTGCCTCCATGCCAAGTGGGAAGCATTTCAGATGGACAATTTTTTGCAGCCACTTTGAATAGCGTTCACTTCCAGACAGTGCAGTATTCTCCCCTCCCCATCTTCAAAAATTTTATTTCATTATATTGTCTTTTAATGTATAATGCTATTCCCTTTTTTGCTTTGGTCAGCCAGAGTCGTATATGTTACCTAGTTTTTCCTATTCCAAAATTTTTCTGTGTTGCTTTCTAATATGTACTTCCTATAACCATTTAATGTCCAATTTCAATATCTCTAATTTGTTAAATATTCTTTTTATTGCCAAGTTTAATCCATTTATATTAATGGAGATTACTTTTATTTCTTCCTTCATTTCACTGGTTTATAGGTTTCGCTGATCTAGTCATTCTTAGCTCCCTCTCTTCCTTTGTCTCTTTGGCCCTTGCTCCTTCTCTTCCTGTTCTTTCTCCATCTCCTTTTGATCTTTTCCCTTAGCTTCCTGGCATTTAGCTCCTCCTTCTCTTACCAGCATTCCCTCCTGTGCTGCTATATGATGTTCATAAAATAATTCTGCTTTCTCTAGTGTATCTAGTCTGTACATTTGTTGTTGCTAGTTTATCAAAATCCCCTCAGGAAAAATCCATCTAAAACTCACTCTTTTTTTTATCAAACTTAGTCAGAAAGTGATATTCCTCTTATATCTCTGATCTTGAGTTTATAGCCCACTTATTTTGCAGCCACATTGCTGCAATGATGGATTGGTTTGTGATAGTATCAGTATGTGGAATTGAACACACTGCACTCCAAGATTTACGAACCCTTTGCAGAAATTGCAAGAGGTGGACAATTTTGTAAGAAAATAATGACCATGTAGCATACTTTTAAATTTTTTAATGAGATTCAACTTAATACTATTAGGTTTCACAAGTTAGGACATTAAACAAACCATCATAATAAAAATAATAGTAAAATGGTTGTTCTCAAGTTTGCATATCCCTGAAGGTTTCGGCTCATAATTCATTACATTTCATTTATTGAATTTCTAGGCCGCCCAATCACGAAGGACTCCGGGCGGCTTACAGAAATGAAAAATTATTAAAAAAGAATTAAAACAGTGAGACACAACAAAGTTAAGGAAAAGCACAACATACACCCAATCGGGGGGCGGACCTCAATCAAGAGGTCAACAGCCCCAGGCCTGCTGGAAAAGCCAGGTTTTAATAGCTTTGCAGAAGGCCATGAGAGTAGGTAGGGTCCGGATCTCTGGGGGCAGCTCATTCCATAGGGCCGGAGCGGCAACAGAAAAGGCCCTACTCCTAGGTGTGTCCATCCGGCATTGTCCCGCTGAAGGCGCCCGGAGAAGGCCCATCCTGTGCGATCTTATTGGTCTAAGGGAGNTATCATCTATCCATCTATCCATCTATCCATCTATCTATCATCTACCTATCATCTATCTATCAAAATGGCTGTGTGTGTGTGTGTTTCTATGTTCCAGCATAACTCTGGAACTCCTCAAGCAATTTCAACCAAATTTGATACACAGATTACACACCCTCTGGAAACAATACTGTGGGAGTAAGACACACCTAACACCCCTCGGGGTGTATGTTCTGCTAAAATACAGCGTGTTGTGCCTTACAATGGCTTCTACTGTACTGCTGTAAAATGGCTTCTACTGTACAACACAGTGCAGTTGCCATGGTAACCCCTTCACAAGGTGGCTCCCTCTGGTAAGGCTCCCTCAGGTAAGGGGGAAAATCCAACATTATGAATTAAGTTGGTATCACTTTTCTTGATGCTTCTGGAGGCACAGGGAAAACATTTGGAACTAATTTAATTGTAACTGAAATCAGGGCTTTTCCTGTCTAATATAGGATTGATAAATAAATACCCAGGCAATGCAGGGTTATCAGCTAGGAGTTTAATAAATAAGGGCACCAAAAGTAACTTGCATTTTTTTTGTGTGAATCTTACACTTTATCCACCGTATATTTAATCTAATGACAGTGTCAGTGTGTTAAGAAGCATGGTCCTCACTCTGAATGGACTTCATTGTTTTTTTAAAGTGTCCATACTTAACTAGATCAGGTTGGCTAGATGCAATGTAGAAATGATATAACCGCATCATTATATGATAGAGCTTTGTATCACTTATGAGCATGACAGGAAGGAAGGGAGGAGGGAGGAGATGGAGGGAGAAAGAAAGAGAAAGCAAGAGGGGAAAAAAGAAAAATGAAGGAAGGGAAAGGAAAGAAAGAAAAAAAGAAAGGAGTGAGTAAATGAGGAAGGAATGAAGGAAGGAAAGTTTGAGTAGAGATTGTGCTACCATAGCAGTGATTACTAGACTAAAAGAGAAGGTGAACATTGTCAGTTCAATGACATTTTTTCTCTTCAAAAAATGAGGGTCTGGGCCAGTGGTGGGATTCAAATAATTTAACAACTGGTTCTCTGCCCTGATGACCAGCTGGGTAGGCAGGGATCAGTGGTCATGTGACTGGATGGGTGTGGCCAACTCAACATCACTCAGGTCGATGGGCACTTTGCCTTAGCTGTTATGATGCAATGAGGGTTAACCAGAGAGGCAATTTCTGTAAGCAGGGTAATAAAGATGAAGCTAGAAACAACCCCAGAATGTTTCCTTCCTGCTTTCCTTGCAGGATTAGCCCTGTAGAGTGGAAAAAAACAAAAGAAGATTTCTTCTAACAACTGGTTATCTGATCTGCTTAGAAAGTTAACAACCGGTTCTCCCAAATAGGTGCGAACCGGCTGAATCCGACCATTGGTCTGGGCTTTACTTTCTTGTATCCCTTTGGCCCAGTAAACTTAACCCAAACTGAAAACCTACATTGTGCCTAGCAAGTAGAAATTTATTTAGGATTATAATCCCATANTTGCTTGGCAATTGGTAAGCTGGATTTACTTCACGATTGTGTGATTTGCTGAATGACTGCACCAAAAAAATATGTTTGTAAAATTGATGTGTCTCTCTTAAGAACCATGTTGCTTACCAACTGAAATTATGATACCAATTGGGGTTGCAAGACGAGGAGTATCTGCATTATTTTACTTACTTAATAGATGCTTTTCTGCATCTAGGGAGTACTTCAAGTGGCTAACATAATTTTGAAACCAAAACCAGAGAATTAGAACACAGTAAGTGGAAAAGACAGATTAAAATTAGCAATAAAGTGAACATTTTTTCTAGCACGAAACTAAAACTTTCCTCTCTTTCTTAGGCAATTTATGAGTTGAATTGAACTTAATGTTTAGCTTCTGTTTTATGCTCAAATATTGTAGGAGGACAATCACACTAGTGTATAAATGGTCAAAGATCAGACTCGTTTTTTTTAAATTAACATTGAAATAGTTCTTCTTGGGCTATTAGTTGTTTTGCATTGGCTTCGTTGTTTGAATCTTTTTATCTCCCCCCACCCCCCAAGGTTTGCAAAACCTTTCGATGATTCTAGTCACTTTCTAACCTGCTTTGAGAAATCTGGATAGTGGATGGGTTTGAAATACAATAAGTAAATAAATTAATATTTCAAGGGCATCCAGCTGGTTGCCTGAGACTAGATCCAATTCTCATCTTCCTTTATTTGTGCTTTGGTGGGTCCTAGCAAATGGAGCAAAGAACAGCAATGTGCAAAACTCAACCAATCTGACAGCAGAACGATCTGGAATTGGTTTGCTTTGCACATCCCCAGTGAACAATGCGCTGAAATGGTTGTTGAAACAAGAGGAGGGGAAAAAGGCCTTCCTTATGTTACAGAGATGGAGCAGAGAGTGACAGCTTAGATCCAGATGTTTTAGGACTGCATTCTATAGATTTTTTTAAAGCATATGTGGTTAAAAGCAG